AAACGAGGATTATTCATATAATATGAAATTATTTATTTTGATTTTGATTATAAAAAGTAATTTCAAAAAATCAAGATATTTGAATAATTAAAATATTATAAGTAATAATTTTAAAATTTTTAATATTCTTACAAATTAACAAACAAAAATGATTTAATAATATTCTTAAGAATCAATAAACAAAAGTGATTTATTAACTATATTTGAATAATTTCGTAAGTAATTTTGTTAATTTAAATATAAAAATGTTATGATATTCACCTCTTTTTTTTTTCCTCTTATAAAATGGCTAGATTTTATTTTTCTTGAAAAATGCAAGAGTTTTGGTGCCCAGGACCAAGAGCCCAGAACTTCACTCTGGCTGGCCCATAAAAAAGAACAGTCCAGCTCTAATTTGTAAAGTTTCTGGGCTGAGAGAGGAGATGGTTGGACTGTTCTATGGCTAGAGTCTAGAGAACCCAACAACAAAATGGATCCGTTTATTTCAATGGCTATTGCAATTCAATGGGGATTTGAAACAGTTGTGACAATACTATTTTCTGGATAATAGTAGAATGTGTACTAGTTATTGTATATTTTTCTTAGTTTCTTTTCTCATGTAGCAGCTCTTGTGCTGCTTTATGTTGTGAGTGCATTTCTGGATAAATAAATTCACTTTTTATCCAAAAAAAAAAGAAGAAGATCTGTCTATTTAATTTTCAGTTGCAAAACATGACATTTTTTCAAGAAAAAATTCAAATTCAAAAGAGAAAAAAGTGCAAGTAAGCAACTTCATAAAAATAGCTATGTCAAGCACTCTCAAATCTTGTCATGTGTAAATTTAGATTTTGTTTGGTATAATTGTAATTTTGAGTTTTTAGTTTTAGTTTTTAAAAATTTAGAAACTTTAGAATAAAATTAAGTAGTTCTATAAATTGATTAAATTATAAGTTTTGAGTATTTGTTTTAAAATTACAAATTTAATAAGTTGGTAATTTTAATTTTTAAGGTTTAATTTTGATTGTTTGAACTTTAAAAACCAAAACCAATAATTCAAAATTACAATCATACTAAACAAAACTTTAATTTTTATTTTATGTTTGTTTAGCTTCATTTGCAATTTATTTTTTATAGTGATTAATTTGTATTCTAAATCTACTTGTAGTTATAATACTTTGGAAAATAACATGTGCGCATCATGAACTGATACACACTTCCAATTTGGCCAATAAAATATAAGAGGTGTCAAAATACTCTTATCCCTATAAATCCCTCTTTTGTAGCCTTACCCATTCTATACATGCACAATTATTTCCCCGCCTTTGTGGTTTTTGGAATTTCATGGGTCTTTTTCTAGGAATTTATTGTTAAAAATGTTGACTCTGAGGTCTGAAGTGTAATATGTGTTCTGGGTTCAATCTTCCATTTAAATGGACATTTCTGTTACCTTTTTTTGAAAATTTTATGTTTATCAGGTGCTTCGAAGATGATGATAGTTGGCGGCATCGGACCAGTGTTCAGCACTTTTCCTAGTTGAGTGTAATATCGAAAGAAATTCTTTATATATGTGAAATTCTCCACAAATGTGAAATTGAATGCTTACCTAAGAAACCCAATAGTTGCCAAAGCGGAAGAAGATGGAGAAGCTTAGTGACAAAATTTGAGCGTGTTTCTTCTTACAAGAATCAACCATGAATGGCAGTAGGATTAAGTTTTTCTTTAGTTAATTTCAAATTATGGGATATTTATTTTTTAATCAATGTATAATGAAGAGTAATAAACTGTGATGTGCACAAATAATTATCTTAATACTTTAAAAGATAATAATTAATACATATTTCAATTTACCATATTATATAATATATTCATTAAAAAACCACTACTTTCTTATTTGATACTAAACATAAACAAAGTTGAAGATGCAATCCTACGCATAAAATACAAAAATTAATTAAATTGATGATATTTATATTATATTTTAATAATTTAATCAAAATAAATACTAAAAAATATATTAAACTAAATGTATAATAATTATTTTTTTAATTTAAAATAACCCTACAATTTGTAAGACTTTCCGTCTTTAGCATTGTGCTGTAAACCTCTCAAACAATTAATTAGAACATTTCTTTGTTATTGAAGTTCGACCACACTTTCAAAGGTAGTAAGAGAGTGGTAGCAAATGGCTGCAGAGGAGATACAGGGCATACACCTAATTTATTTTCCTTGAGTCAAATCAAATTAGGGAAACAGTCCAGTGGCTGCGCAATTGAATATTTCTCTCTAATTATACGGAAATTACATATTGCAGACCTTAAAAGAAAAAAATATATATACAGAATACAAATTTAATTTGCTTTCCTCAATTAAGGCATGTTTTTTTTTACTAACTTTTCAATATTTGATAATTATGTTGAATTTTAATTAATTCAAAATTAAATCATATGGGATCCCATTTAGGAGAAACTTTTTCAACATTTATTTTTCTATTTACAAGACTTAAATTTAAAATTTTATTTAAAAAAAAAAAACTAAACTTTTTTTATTTGTACCAACAGGTTACTAGTAATTAAGGCATGCTATTATAAGTAGAAACGGCAAATGCAGAAAGTTGCTGCAATTCATTTACCTTACAACAGTGCCCACTTGGTCATCTAAGCCAACTCGATGTTGACATCTTAACTACATTTATTTTTCTTTTTCTTTGTTTTTTTTTTTTAAATCAAGATTTAATCATACTAGAGCTGGTAAAAAAATAGTTTTTTTTATAAATTCTTCAAATCTCTGCAATTATTTAACAGCTAATTTTTTGTGTACCTGGAAAATTTTCAGAAGCTGCATGCAGAACATAGGCGGCCAAGGCAATGGTATGGGGCTGGGCCATTCAAGCAAAGCCAACTAGCCAAGTACATTAAGCACCCTGTAGGCAGCTTCTCTTTTCAAGGGAGAAAAAAATACAAAAAAGAATATAAATTGTATATATTTTTTATTTAAAAGTGTTAGTTTTATTAATTTT